GTTCAGCTTGCTGGTCTTCAGGTCGCTCTGGCGCTGAGCTGACAGTTTTTGAATCATGTTATTTCTTATGATGCATTCGAGCACCCGACTTTTGGGTTATGACCTGATAATTCTTGAAAGGCTTTATCCATGAGACCTTTGCCTTTAATATCCTAGCCTAGCAGCTTCCATCCTCGGGTCCGTTTCTGAACCTGATTGATTGCCAACGCCGACACTTACGAACAATTTTACTCTGCCTTCGCCCTTTTAGAATAATTCGAAAAAGGTCCGTAAACTACCTTCCCTATCTGGAAGTGGAATGGAGTCGTTTGAGTAAATTACTTTCCTCATTATTGATGAGTTCTTTTGCTTTTTTTTCTACCATTTTAAGCGGACAAAGACACTGGTGTGCTTAAATATGAGTTTTGTCTGCTTTTAAGGATGCTGTCTGTTTTGGTGTGTCATCTCTCCCGACATCTGTTCCGGTCTTACGTTTTTTTCATTCCATTAGTCCAATTACCCTTCCTTTCTTCGTTCACTTCCCACTCATCAAAAAAAGTTAGTTTTAAAAATGTAAACTTTTAGAAGATGACATTTGGTCCGAGGCATTGGAAACTTTGGGTAATTCAAACGGTAGCCTAACGGCTTCCCTCCGCGGTTTTTACACTACTGCGGGTTACCGGTTCCCCGTCCCAGAGGTCGAATTCCGCATTGCCTTTCCCCACCTCGTGCTCGCCTTTGAGTCCCTCTCACTCCGGACCCTCACCTCTAGAATGGATGCTCTATCTGTGAATGGGCGGAAGGGGAAAGGAAAACAAAAGGGCGAGAGCCACGTCATTGTCACCGACGCCTCAAAATGCTGTATTCAGGATCTTATGCAAGTGACCTCGAGCAAAACCAAAACTGCCACGTTTATCCTCCCCTCTTGGGACTCGTCTCCCGAAGGTTCTCCACTTAAGCCACCCAGGTAAGCGTTAAAAAGAGCATGTTTTAGACTTCCTGTAAATAGCTTTGGTTGCAGTGGGATTCATCGCATTGAGATCGGTTGTATTTGAAGTAATGGCCAGCAGAGTGTGGAAGACGCTGCGCCCATTGGTCCTCTTTATTTGGCCAATCAGGCGGAAGCCTTGCACAACATTACGATTGTCCGAGCGCACTGTGCAGTACCCGTGTTTTCTCTCCCCCTTCTCATTGCTCTCCTCCTTTTGGCTTCAGATCCACTCCTCCTATGGATGCAAGACTGTTGTCTTCACCAGCGCCGCCAGTGGAGAATTTTATATCCCTCCGAATTAGTAGTCACTTTGAACGTCGGCTGACCCTTCAGTCCTCACTTTTGACGGCCACTCCGCCTCCATCCCCTTCAGCTGGAGAGTTTGATGGCTTTCGAACTCCTGCACGCCTTCTCGACCGGTTGGCATAACCACTGTCATTTCTCCTTTTTTTCTTTTGTATAAACTTCGATTAAAGATGTTCTTATCTCTCTCCTTTTCCATTCTGTGTAGCCATCGATAGCATGTGCGTGTGTGCTGGGTATGCATGAATTCATGCAAACATTTTTGTCTGCACTGATCCGCAATCACTATGTAATCCTCTGCCGTTTAGCTTGCAAGTTTCACATTTTTCAGGCTGCCTCTATAATATATGCCTCTGTTTAGTCAGCAGCTATTCTTTTGTAAAAGTGGGTTACCGTAGTATTAATATATCTCTTTTACCAACTTGTTTGCAATAAATAGCTGAGATTTACCTTCAGTGATGCGTCTGGAACTGTTTTGCGTAGAACTGTTTGTGTGCCACAACGTCTGCTATCTTGACTGATGGACAGTCACTTGAATAAATAAGCAAATAGGTGGTGTTGCACTTTGAAGGTGCTATTTATTTATTTTTTGCAAAATTCAATTGTTTTGGCTATTTTACATCAACAAAAGGCATTCAGAGAAATTGTTTCATTTTTTGACCATAATTTGTGGGTACGAGGAATATCACCTTTTTGGAGGAGTGGAGGACACACAACCCTTTCGAATTCCATCCTTTTGGACTTGATAACTTTCCGTAGATGGTTTAAATATTTAGCATACATTTCACCACAATGTTGCTACCTCCTATGAGAACTTTTCCTTGATCTCTACTTCACCATCCATAGATTGCCATTTGAATGAATTGGGAGGTGGCAGAGGAAGGACAAAAAGTGGGTGATTGTCTCTCCCGATAAATTGGCAGAGTTGGCTGGTCTCCATGACGATAAGATAATCTGCTTTTTTCGTCCACTTTCTCAAGTAGCAAACTGGATTAAGCGCCCTCCTCCGTATAGTTTCCCAAGTCAGCATTAACTGGCAGCTCTCCCCACTGCTTTGTTTGTTCCGCATCTGCAGCTAAACTATCTGAGCGGTCGAATGTAGCTCCCTTCAATTTGCTATCTGTTAGACAACCCACGGACCTGGGCACCACATGACTGATTGTATCCTTCTTTAAGGCATTCTACCTCCAAACCGAGCTTTCGCTCAAAAGCCAATTGATGCTTTCTTATGGCTTAGTCGTTTTGTCGTTCGCCTTTAATCTGTTTTAGTGTGTGTGATAATGGCAAGCAGTGGTGAGGGAACTGTGTGGTATCAGCGCACCATTACCATATCACCGCATTCTCGTGGATGTCACTACATTACAGACGATATCATTAAAGGGATGCCGGAAATCACTCAAATCAAGATTGGCACTCTCAACCTCTTCAGTAAGTTCATCATTACTTTCTCATCCTTTTACCTCGCCTTCTCTTACTGATTAAAGTACACTGTGGCAGTGCAATCTAGGGTTGCTGTCATCCATACTGGCATCAAATTCGGTTTGCTTGTTTGTTTGTGTCTCTTAATTGCTTTTTTCATGGTCTCCCTCTTCCCCTCTCTCTCCCCACTCCAACTCTTGTTTGCACAGGGAGCGTGACAGCTGTTAATCAGAGTCAAAGTAATCCGTGGATTCATCGCCGAATTGAGCAATTTTTGTCACCAGTTTCATTAGACCGAGAGAAGACCAATGTGTTTAATCCCCGTAT